GTGAATGATGGTTTGGACAATGATTAACAAGAAGAGTTGCATCAAGTTTAATGGATAGTGATATGGCAACATGTGAGACTGAATTGTAAAGATTGGAAAACTAATTAGCATGATAGAGAATATAAAAGAGCTTGTTATTCCCTCCTTTCATGTAGCCACAAGCTGAGCTACTAAAAAGATGACTTATTCTACTCATGGATGAATGAAGCAGAGACAAGCTTGACTGTCCAATTGGCCAAAGTGCCCCCAAGGCAGAAGTAATGGTCATGTCAAATAGGGGTTCATCCTTAGGAGCAATGATACTCAAATTTTCCCATGTCCTAGATTTGCTTCTCATTCATTGAATCTAGATCCACATGTCTTGTGTGTAAGTCCACTTCAACATCATATTTTGGTGAGTTTATAAGAGAATGTTGAAGGTTGCCTTGTAGATGGATGATGAATTGCTTCAGAGAGAGAGAAAACACAGGGAGACTATCATGCTTGAATTTTTTTTTCTTGAAGTAGTTTACCTACAAACAAAAAATAAAAGAAAAATAAACAAAGTCAGAATAGTGTTAGGAATCATCCCATAATTTTGCATGATTTAGTGCTTCAACAATTGTTATGTGGATTCACACATTGTCGATTTCCAATCCTTAAGAAGCCTCGGATGAAGCAAAATATCTTTGAACGCCTTGAGATTTCCATAGACTCCAAGGGCTATAGAAAAGACACTGACAAGCATTTCAACATGCATTGCAAAGATGGTCATTCATTACAAAGTAAAAGCCTATTACATCACACTAAGTACATCAACATGGTAGCATTCAAGTCCCTAATAAAAATTGACTCCTAGATCTTTCAAAGTACAATTGTCTAATGAGAAGTTCCATTCTTTTCCTTGATGAATCCCTTGATTGCTGAAGCAACATGAAGTGTGATGTGCTTGAGCTTTTGACCTTTAAAGCTAGTCTTGGTTCTTGTCCTTCTAAGCTTGCCCGTGGACTTGGCAATTGTGAATGATGGGAGAGAAATGCTTGCAGTTGGAGATCTCCTTAATCCTTTGTTGGTCAAAACTTTCTCCATTGATGAATACCTCAAAGGTGTCTTGACTAACGAAGAATCACATTTGACCATATATGAATCCATATTTCAATTGTTGAAGGCAGAGAATCAAACAAGATTATGGGATTGTAAGAAAAGAAATAAACATGGATGCCAAACAATAGATAAAGGATGAAGGAACATGAATATGCTCTAAAGTGATAATGTGTGTGGAGTTGTATCCTAAAGCATGCATTTTTGGGAATGCAAGAAAAGAAATAAACATGAATGGGAAATGAGTGATAAAGGATGCAAGAATATAAACATGCAGACAAGTGGTAATGTGTGTGAAGTTGTGAAGTTCTACCCTAGAACATGGATTTTTCTTCATTAAGTATGCCAAGCAAAATCATTAAGTATGCCAAGCAAGTTCCAAAGGAGAAGTTGATGATTCACTATTGCAACCCATTAAATTGG